CAAGGATGGATCCATCACCCCTATCCTAGCTCGGCCAAAGGTTATCGACAAGCATGACCAATGTGGACTCCATACTGTATCCTAGCCTGAAATCCAATTGGACAGGTAATCTCTTTCCTCCTCTGCAACAGTTGTTTGATCACTTTGTCAACAACCTTCCCAACAAAAGAAAGATTGGAGACTGGACAATATTCAGAAAAGTTGGATCCAGTGATGGCCTCTTGAGCACCACTGTCTCCTTCAAGGCTGGAGAGACCACCCCCTCCCTCAGTCACCGTTGCATGGATCCAACTATAGGTTGTCTCCTGAGCCAACTTCTCACACAGGAGGGATTTGGATCTAATAAATTGGTGGCTGTACTCAAAGTTTGGAAGGCTTTGTCCACTTCCTCAGGTGTCACAGGATCAAACAGTCCAAATAACTCCACAATATCAAGCTGTTGGCATCTTACGTAGATCTGCCTAGTCAGAGTCCAGCTCTGAACAGATCTGGGCTACTTCCAGCATTAATATTCCTTACAGTGGCCCTGTGGTCCATCCTTCCCTACCAGGGAATCAGTTTACTTCTTTTTCCAAATGCTGGCCACCTTGAAGTCAGTGACAGAATGTTCTGAGGATTTGAAATACTCCCCTGCTAGTTTTTGGTAATTGTAATTTCTGATTATAGATTTATGTCCATTTATTCTTTTGCACAGAAATTGGATCCTTCATCCAGTATAAAGTGTAGTGAGGAAGTGCTGAGCAAAGTCTATACTGGAGGACAAGCAAATGTATTAATAGTTCCCTGAAACTGCAAGTTAGATAATTAGCTTCTGCAACTGTTGCCAGAGTAGCTAAAGAGGAAATTTAGCATGTAGGTCTGCTGCAGTCTTTGGACCTAATGACTGTAACACTGCGATGTGATTTGTTGCTGCTGCTTAATACAAGCCTACCAACTTAACTCTGGAAAGGAACTGATTTTGTTCTGGATGTGTCAGGCCCTTCAAGGCAGAAAAGTTCAGAAAACAAGAACTAATAAAAAAGATTTTTATTAGTAGGGTACTCCTAAGAATCCTGAAAACCTGTCAAAACCATTATCCAGCTCAACATATTTCTCATGCTTCCCCCTTTCACTTGTTTGAGGTGTCTCATTTGCAACAATCCTGTTTCTTCCATGTTCCCAGGACTGACTAGACATTCCTATCATAGGGTGGGTTGTAGATATTGATTATACAGTATTTTTTAATGGTTTTAGCTAGGAGCTGTAGATGACACATGCAGCCACTGTTACATGTTTTTAGTACTTACTGGAAATATCCCCTTCCTGCTAATCCAAGCCTGAAGTGAAATTAATATTCCCATATCTGAAGTCCAGCATGCAATTTTGTTTTGTGTCAGATTTGTTTAATATCAAGCTGATGTGTGGGCGTACAATATCATATTTTCAGACTCTTTAGCTAGAATTGTTTGGTATGCCAACCTGAGTAGTCTAGGGATAGGTTTAAACTTTTCTGTTTTATGAGAAAATATATAAATAGCAGTTTCTAAGTTTTTCTTGTAAGTGGAATGTCATTTTAGTGTTCAAAATTATAGATCTTTAGTCTAATAATATTCTTTCACATGAATCAGTAAGCCTCTGAATAATATGTGTGTGTGTGTATGCATATATATATGTATATATATATGCACACATGTGTGTATATGTGTTATTGTGTAATATAAGATATACTGTGTTTCCTATTGTCTGAAAGAAATTGTTCTTTAAATAGTGTTAAAAGAAAATAGATATATTTTACCTCTATTACACAACTGCCATTCATTTCATTGTATACTAGTGCAGAGAGAAGGCTGTAATTAGCCATGAATCCATGTATTTAAACCAGCAGGCAAATGGTTCACTCTGTATAATTATCTCTTGTCTTATAGAATGAGGTGCATTTACTGAAAAACATTTCCCTTTGTAAGGCTAGCTCTCAGTGCATTTGGATTTTGTAATAAATACACATACATTGCAGAGAGAAAAGAAAGAAAAGGGGAGAAATAAAGTACAGTATCTGGTCAATGGACATCTTTTCTATTTAAATTCTGCATTCAGGAAACACTTAACTATCACTGAAAGCATTTGGTTTAATATGTGAACATTCTAACGCCTGAGCATTGTAAACTGGATTAATGGCTGATTGCTGTTGAGATCTAAATAGTATCTTCTTTATTCTTTTTTCCTTCCCAGTTTGCATGCCTTGTTATTAAAGGAAATAGTTATGTTCTGTGTCTTCAAGAGAAGTAGAATCTGCTGTTAGTGTTTAGAAAGGTGTTTCTATTGATGAACCTGCCTGGATGGTCTATAACAGTGTTATTTCTCCTTTATTCTTACACAAATCTTTCAACAGTATCCTTTCAACTGATTCCTGAATGTGCAAGGATATTTTCTATTTATGTAGGGTGCAATATACCTACTCCTTCTATTGGGCCTATTCCTTTTGAGTAAATTGTAGCTTTCCAGTACTGTGAGCCAATCATTGGTATCATCTCACCAAGTTTCAGTAATGGCTGTGACCTCATAGTTGTTTTCCTAAGTTAGGATTGCTAGTTCTCTAGTATTTCCTATACTCTGTTCATTAGTATGTAAATATCTGAGGTTTTGAGTGCCCATCTGTTATAGTGTCCTGTAAACTGAGTACTGATCCTGATCTCCTGCTTGTCTCTTTGTGTTCTGCTTTCTGGTCCCTGGTCCTTGGCTGTGTTTCAGTTCTGCACTTTTGCTATACTCCTCTTTTTATTCTAATTTAATACCCTCCTGATATTTTGGTGAGCCCCAGCCAAACACTCTCTTCATTTTAATAACATGTATCCCATCTTTTCCCAGTAGTCCTTCATGAAAACAGCATAGACCACTGTTGTAGAACCCAAACCCATTTTGGCAACTTCAGCTGTGCACCAGTTGTTGACTTTCAGGATCCTGTTTTCTCCTCTTGCTCTATGACCTTCAACTGGAAGGATTGATGAAAGTATCTGTATGCCAAGTCCTTCACCATCCAAGTACTCATGGTCTCCAGAAATATTTTCTTCTGTTTAAAATCTCCCAAAACATTTCTGTCATAGGTATGTCTCAGCATACCACTGTTGAGAACCAGAGCAGTATAGGGAAGCACTGTTGATTTAAGGACAGGTAGCAAAGGAATATGTTTTCTGACACTGGTAGACTTTAATTTCCATGTTTTCTTATTTTTTCCTCATTCATAACCATTTGGGAAGTGTTCTTTTTAATTTTGTATTGGTGTGTCATCATTTTCCTAATGCATATTTACAGATATACATTGTATCAGGCTGTTACAAATAACACCAAGTGGTGATTGGTCTCAAAAGATTCCCAGACTAACTAGATTCACACATTGCCCTAAACCATTATGAAATTTGTTTAGTTTGGCTTGGGTTTTGTTTGAGCCTAGCAATTGTAGCCATTCCCTTCTTATCCAATGTACCACATTTTCTTCCTCCTTTTTAAATTTGAAGTGAATAGTACTACTCTATGCCGTTTTGTCTGAACTAGCTTGTGCTTATTCTGCAAGTCAGCATTAGAAACCCCGATATCTTCGGTAAGGATCTATTTCATTATCTTCTGCTCGCAAGTTCATGGGGCTTATCTTAACTAATCCTTAGTAATATCCTGCAATAACCATTTAAAGTGGGCCATGTGCCAGATATTTTTTGTGCAGTTTTTGGATCACAGTTCAAGTACTGCTGAAGTATATCTAGTATCCATGTAGAGCAGCCTTCACAAACCAAGCATTCTGGACAACTATTATGGATTTCCTTATCCTTGACTGTTGGCCATACTTTTTAACCCTTGTAATTCCAGACCATTGGAGATACAAAATATATGGAGGCACTATTGGGGAAAGCTCACATAGAGTAGGGCTTAACATGTATTGACTTTTGCAGATATCGGGATCACTAAAACCATTAGAGAGGCAGAAAATAGATGCAGTTGAAATGAAGAGGGAAAACCAAGTTCTGAGGTAAATCGTTTTCTTACTGGTTTAGTGGTTTTATTACTCATGGTAAGATGTTGGACTTGGAGCAGGGTAATACATCTCCAAGTTACCTTGACTTTGAGCCTGGCACTTCCTCTTAGCCCAGTCTATCTCACAAAATTGTCTAATACTGTTCACCAGCACACTAAACTAGAAAGCAAATTGTTTCATTTTATCTTTGTTACAGTTAGTTATGGTTAAACATGGACCCAAGGAGAACAGATTCAAGTTCCTATTCCAGAACTCATTGGAATGAGTCATTTATTCTTAGCCCATTTGTCACAGGGTGGTTGTGGGTTTAAAATTAGGAAAGACATCAAATATACAGCCTTGAGCGTTCAAAAAAGGCAGAGTAAACTTGAAGTAAACAAATAAGCTTAGTTATGTTTTATTCAGCAAACCATAATTTTAAAAACAGCTTAATACAGTGTGTAATAAGCTGTTTTTAAAATTGGCTTGCGTATTGCTTCTCAGTCCTAATGCCCTGATTTTATTTGTGTCCATAAAACTTTGTATTACCTTTGAAATAGTTAATTCTTTTGCAAAATCATGAAATAAAATTCAGTATATATATTTAAGTTAAAACTGGTCTTAGTACAAGGCAAAAACGGGGCTTTATGCGTCTCCTGATATGATGCTAAATTCAAGCTTATATTTCTATTTAGAAACAGCTGATACCAAAACCAAAACATAATGATTTATCTTCCTTAATGCTATCTCAGCTTACCACTTTTGAAGACATTAGTTCCTACCTTATCTTTAACATTATAGAGATGGTACAAATCCCTTTTATATAATAATGTAGATAATTTTAAGATGGCACTATACCACCTCCTAATTTATGTAGGTTTGTAAAAGTCAGACTCAGTCTTTTAATTATATAGGTACCACAAAAAGCTTTCTCTATTATTAAATATTCATCGTGAAAAGAGAGCCAACCCATCTGAGGGGCCTAGAATATAAGACTTATGTAGTGTGGTATTTGTGTGCCAGATCTGCTTAAAGCAAATAATTATTACATTCATGATTACCCTTAGAACTAGAATTAAATGTCCCATTTTGAAAACCAAGTCTAGTCCTCTTGCCTTTTATAGTCTAAAAGCCTGGCTCGGCACAGATTAAGATCTTTTTGGTCAGTTGTTTGGGCTTTTCTAATTAGGTATACTAGTGTATTTATAGTAGAATAGCAAATACACAGTTCAAACAGCTGACATTTTGTTACTATTTTGTGAACATCTCTTTCACAAAATCAGAGATCAATGTAACACTTTTCTTTAGGGACCTATACAGCAGTTTGTTTAGAACAAGCTAGATGTCAGCACTTGTAGCAACTATCTGAGAAAAAAAATCCTTGGGATGTAGAAATCAGTTGTTTCGAATGTTATCATAACAAGGGTGTCCACAGGGTATGGTTAAAAAGTCAAGATGTTGGCTACAACAGTGTGATCAAAGTTCCACCTGTTTGTTTGTTTGTTTATTTATTCATCACATTTGTCACTGCCCATCTCGTGAAATGACTGGGCGGTTTACAAGAAGATAAAAATTCATTAAAATACAACATAAAAACAATCCTAAAAATGAATAAATTCCAAGAAGATAGAAAATTGGCAAGTAATTCCAGAGAGCATCGTCAGGGGTCTAACCACCTCCAGGAGTGGCTAGAGCCCATATCACCCCATGCACACTGACGGAGCCAGGTCTTTAAACCTTTTTGGAAAACAGGGAGGGTAGGGACTGCCGCACCTCTGGGGGCAGAATATTCCAAAGGGCGGAGGCAATGGCAGAATAGGCTCTCTTCCTGGGCCCTGTCAGCCGACATTCCGTTGCTGACGGGATCTGCCACATGCCCTGTCTGCCTGCCTGCGCAGGATGGGTTGACATAATGGGGATGAGATGGTCCCTCAGTAACCTGGACCCATGCCATGTAGGGCTTAAAGGTGATAACCAATACCTTGAATTGGGCCCAGAAGCAAATTGGCACCCAATGCAGCTCCCACAGCAAAGGTATTATGTGTGCCATCCTAGGGGCACCTAATATTCGCATGGCTGCATTTTGAACCAGCTGTAGCTTCTGGATACTCTTCAAGGGTACCCCCATGTAGAGCTCATTGCAATAGTCTAACCAAGAGATGACCAGGGCATGAGTGACTGACTGGAGAGCGTCCTGATCCAAGAAGGGGCATAACTGGTGCACCACCCGAAGGTGAGCAAAGGCCCTCCTGGCCACTCTTTGAGCAGTAGTCGCAAGTCCAGGAGGACCCCCAGGTTACACACCAGATCTGTTTGGGGCAGTGTGACCCCGTCCAAAGCCAAAGATGGTATGTTCTCAGATACAGAGAGGCCTCCAATCCACAGCCACTCCATCTTACCAGGGTTCAGCTGAAGCCTGTTGTTCCCCATCCAGACCCCCATAGCCTCCAGGCACCGCAAAAGGGTGGTCACAGCATTATTCAAGTTTTTATGAGTGTTGTGTGTAAATGTATAGTCATGTTCAACTTCCTTGGCTCTTACTTTCTCCTGTAAATCTGCTTTTCCCTATAAGCCAACTATGAATGCTAAATTTAAAGGCAAGCTTCTAAATGAGAAATAATGGAATATGCTGATAGGCCTACCTAGTTTTCAAACAAGCAACATGCTCTCTTGGGAAGAGCTCAGTATATGGTTAACTTATGTGCAAGAACACAGAATTTGGGAGAATATTTCCTGCAGAGAATACTTGAAGACATTTTTAAAAATCAGTCTCTTTTAGTGCCTCACTGGAGGCAATTAAAAGCACTCTCTTTTTACTGCCTTGATTCTCATACCATGCTAAGCCATAGTTTGTTATAACAAAGGATTATTGAACAAGCCATCACAGTCTTGTTCCTATATGCTAAGCCATAAGCCAAGGTTTATAAACCATAATGGCCTGGATTCACAGATTGCAGTAAGCCTAAATCAAACAATATCATCATGGCTTAGTGTGACTGGGGTCCCAGACCTGTTTAAACCATGATAGAAGGAAAACTTTGGTGTCCATGTTTAGTGCCTAAGTGCTTCTCTCCAAGAGTAAATCCAGTATTACACAGCTGGCATTATTCTAGGAGGATTTGGAATAAAACATTGATCTGATCCAATCCAGTCTTAGATTAAATGGTAAAAATGTATTGGATGGGTAGGGGAATTAATACATGCTTTACTACAATTGGAGGCAGCAGTGTTAAAAGATTTTTTTTTTTTAAAGGAAATAAAAAGAAGGTTGTTGTTATTGTAAAATTGTACGCATCTCTTCAAAACCAGCCAAAATCTACTTTTTCTCCCTTCTCAAAAAATAAATGTTCTTTTTTTTTTTCACCATCTGCAAATGAGATTGGCCATTTTGCTATAGTCCTGCTATCTAGTAGTGGTATAGCAATTATGAAGAAATGTCAGTTTCTATAGCAACATAGGCAAGTGAAAGTGTGTTTTCTGAATTTTCTTCTATGTTTTTTATATTTTAGGAGGTGTAATATTCCAAGAAATCAAAGAATATTGGACCCAAAGAAGGGACCAATTAAAAAAACAGCAGGAGTGAAGCATCTTCCAAAACTGAAACTCTGATTTCTTATTCTAGAATTTCTCCTTTTATTATTTATTTCCCCACTTGCAATCACAATAAACACAAAATGTTATTCTAAGATAGTATTTTAAAGTAAGGTTCCTCAACCCAACCACAGGAGTTATTGGGTATGCTTTGCTAGCAGGAGTATACAGTCGTGTGAAAAAGAAAGTACACCCTCTTTTTGTTCTATGGTTTTACATATCAGGACATAATAAAAGTCATCTGGTCCTTAGCATTTCTCAGAAATAGGTAAATACAACCTCAG